TCTCCCTGCGGCGAGGGGAAGCGGTCCGGAAGTCCATCCTCAGGAGTGCGTGATCTGACCATGACAAGGGCTCTATGACTATCTCCCCCGTTTCCAGATCATTCTGCCACTGGCCAGAGACAAAAATCAGATCCAGTGTGTGACCTCCTATGTGAGTGGGTGCATGAACTAATTGGGTCAAGTCCATGGTCGTCATGGAATGCACCCTCTGTTCTTTTATTCATTTATTCTGCTTATCTCCAGATGTATAGAATTGCCTTTGGTGAGATGGGCAGCGTACAAATTTGATAAATAAAAAATAAATATGAATACATATTTTCTTAAGAAAGTCTTGTTTGCCCTAATTAAGAAATTGTCATGTAAATAAAATATTGCTAGCTGACAGTATTGGCATAATTTATATTTTACGGTATCTTCTTCACATTATGCTTTGTTAGAATTCAAATGTATGTACAGTATTAAAGATCTGAATTAACTGCCATTTCTATTAGCTTTCAAACCAGGTATTGGTCACACGTTTGTTTAACTGATGTTTAACAGTTAACAATGCTGTTTTGATTTGTTTAAGGTTATAATTCACATTCAAAGATCAATGTTGTAACCGATCTTTTGTTTGTATTTTTGTCTCCTGTACAAACAGTTCCAATGTTTTGCTAGATGCAAACTTTGTACCACAACTTGGACATTCTGGTCTTAGGCTTCATCCTGTGGAAAAGAAATCAGAATATACTGTGATAAAAACCAAGGTCTTGCAAGCTTCACTAGCTTATTTCCCAGAAGATTTCGTCAGACATGGGCAGTTAACTGAAAAAGTGGACATATTTGCTTGTGGAATTGTAAGTTGTGGTTCTTCATGACTAATCTTACATAACTCTGCATGCCAAGAATTGGACACGTTTTCCTTTAATTAAGCTTGCTATCTTACTCCAGTGCTTAGACTAGTAAAATGTCAAAATGTTATTTCATAAAATTATGCTTGGAGATCAAAAATGTATGAATAAACTCATTTTCCATGCCACAGCACATTATTTACATGGCAGACATCATTTGTGCTATGTTGTGTCTTGGTGTCTTAAGGAAAAAAGAATTTTGGATTATAAGGCTAGGGAAGACTTCTGCCTAAGATTGAAGAGAGAAGCTGCCTGTCAGCATAGGCAATATTGATCACTATAGACTTGGTTAAGAGCTGGCTTGTATCTGATAGAAAGATTTTCTTCTATGATAGGACTGGATTGCATCTAGATAGTGCCAGATGAACTGTATAGTCTGAGATCAGGATTCTCAGCTGTCCTTTATAATTTTTTAAAAAATTAATTGTAATTATTTTTCTAGATTTTAGCAGAAATACTGACTGGCATGAAAGCAGTGGATGAAAGAAGAAATCCTATTTTTCTGGTATGTAGAAAATATATTTTAGAAGATTTAAATATTTGAAGAAAGACCCTGAGAGTGAGCATTCCTCAGACTGGAGAATGTAGTTTTTGGATCATTGTTATTATTTTATGCAGTTCAGTTGTTCCACATCTACATGAGAAGGATGCTTGAGGGTTCCTTCCTTCCTGTTACGATTTCCCTTCCTTTCCCTTCCTTTCCTTTCCTTTCCTTTCTCTTCCCTTCCCCCACATAAGCAGATGTTGCTGGGGGAAGAGAGAACAAAGGATTGCAAGAGTGGCTGGGCAACTGTCATGGAATGTTTAAAAATGACCACAGCAGCAGCCTGGCAACAGCAGCCACAGCTTCCCAAAATTTCATTCTCTCAAGAGTCATGGATTCTGGATTTGGGGCACATTCTGCAATTTAGCTCATTTGAGGTACCTTTCCTCAAAAACTGTTGCCCTATGATACACCATTTTGCCCTGTTAAAATTTCAGGAACTATTTAGTAATATGTAGAAAACAGGACAATTACTTTCAGCTTCTTTATGTAAGTGAACCAAAAACTTAATAATTCTTTAAAGGACAGAGAAATAACATCATCTGCATTCTTCCAACCTTTTCTTCAACAGAAGGATGCCTTGCTTGAAGAACTCAGAATGGCAAAAGAATTGTCTTGTACTAAGGAGAAAAACTTTGAAAATCTTGCTGCCATACAAATATGTCACAAATACCAAGATAAGCAAACTGTTTGTTTGACAGAAACAGTCTCTTTATGCTTGGCCACGTCTATCTGCATTTGCCTGCGGAAAAAGAATGCAAACACGATAGAGGTAAACCTAATCAGCTTACTAGTGGTGATGCCTTTGCTATATAGTCCTTTTATTTTCTTTATTTTATTTATTAATGTAAGAGAAAGTAAGTAAACATGGAAATAGGGAAATTGTTTTATTTAATGAGGAAAGTAGAAACAATCTATTTAACATTCTTGTCGAAAACAGGTGAGTGAAATGATAGAAATTGCAGATCGTCAAACAAGATCTCAGAACATGTCAGAAAGAAGCAGAAATCTTGGACTCTTCATCAATATTCCAGAAGAAACCAATGATGAACCAGCTAGTCCCTTCAATGTTGACTTCTATGGTCATAACCACAAAGGCTCTGCCAATTCTGGATCTCTAAACTGTGCCACTACATTACCACCTTGTATAAAAGTTTTGCCTCCTGAAACATACTCTGAGCAGAATTTACGGGTACCTTGTGAATCTGATGAATCCTGTAACTTTTCGTGGGAACCTGTAGAACACGCTTCCTGCTGTACACCAACCAAACACAGTCTGGAGTCAGAAAATGTTTCTTGCACTAAACCTCTGATGTCCACAGCAAAAAGTACAGACTCTGATAGAAAAACAAATCAAGAGCAGGGAACAAATGATGGCGCTGCTTGTTCCTCACAAGGTAAAAGGTAATATTTAAATATTCTTTGAAGTTGGTAGAAATTCTGTGGAAAGTTTGATATATCATCATAGAAATAACAATGACATACAACAGTTTCTCCTCAGGTTCTAGTGAGGAGAGTCTGAAACAATGCCTGAAGTCAGCAGTAAATCAGAAAGGGTAAATAAGGTGAAGTAAATGGAAGTCAGTACTGTTTACTGGGAAAATATTCACTCCAATATATATATTTATTCTTGTGCTGATAGGATAGCACTCATATTTAAAAACCTACATGGTGCTGGACGCTCATATGCCAGATATAATAATATATTTTACCACTTTGGCTAGCTGCATTATTTAATGATGATGCTTGCACTGGAGACCTCTAGATTAAATTTTGGAAGTGGTTTGAAATATTGGAGTATGCCTGACAGAATCGTGATCAGAGCTGTCCGTACAGAACATATACTGCTAATTCTATAACTGTTTGGCTAATTGGTTGATTTCTAGGTCTGTTCATTGGGATTATATTCTCTTTCCTATAAATTGAGAGATTTTGACTCATTTTAGCTTTGCAATAGTAACCCTACATGTCAGGTTGAGTTAAGAGAAAGGGACTGAAGTAAAGTCACTCAAGTCAATTTCCATAGCTTAAAGTAGACTTTAACTTAGGTCTCACCAGTCCCTACTTCAGTACCTTATCATTATACCATGTAGACTTAAACTATTAAATCTGATTTTACTATTTTAAATGTTATGACTCCCAAATGCTCTGGATTTGCATCTACACAGACCATAAGATTTCTGTGGAATCCTTGATCTGGCGTTTTTTTCCCCTGGTGGTGCTCAAACACTGGAATTCTTCACATAGGGGGTTCCCTTTGCTTTTGCAGGATTTGGCTTTCAAAAGCAAACTAAGGCCACTCTTTTTCTGATGAATTGTTAATCTGTTAGAAGTTGTGTTGAAAAGCATTCCATAAAAGTTCTCAATGAAATGGGAGATGAAGCTTGTATATTCATTATTTAGGCCAGTGATATTACTTTGTCTTTTATTTCAGCTTTAATGAAAGAAATAAACATCAATGATAAAAAGAAGCAGCTAATGAAAAAAATAGCATTATATGATGAAAATAAGATAAACAGTTATGACCTCTTTGAATCTTCAATATAAATACATTTCTATCAGTTATGACTTCAGAAGATGGAGCATTTCTTCACCAGCAAAATCCATTTTTATAGTACTGTTATACTTGTTATATATACAAGAAAGCTA